TGATGGTTTGTTGAAATCATTACCCTAGCACATCAAGCGGTTAAAACTGTTGGTAAAACAATAGTTTATGACGTGTCACTAGGGATTGGTTCTCATAAGCTATCTGGTTATATAATTTTTCTTATTTTAAAATATAAAGTAACACATATACTCAGACACCAAGTATAGAAAGGAATTACAGTGAAGTAATATTTCAAGTTTAACAATTAGCATAATTTTACAAAAATTAATAAGTAAATAAAAGTCAATGTTCTCTTTATATATATATCTTTTACGCAATAAACAATCAAGCTAGCTGGACACAAGGTAAGAAATTACATTTCCAAGCATGTCATAAAAATTAAGGATAGCCGTAAGATAAATCAAGAATAACTTTTACCGAAGGAATAATAGAATTGTTAAGGGTGAATAATTTGAAAAGTTATTAATAACTACTTTCTCACCATTCGGGTCACAATAGTACGCGTTCAACGTAGATGTTTTAACTTGTATTATACAACTACATAAAGAAAATAATTCAGCCATTAAGGCTTGGCGCCCAACAATTGGACAGTAGCATCTTACATGAACACACATTGTTTCCCATTCATATAGCATGACCAATAAATATTAAGAGTCGTAAAATCCTCCTCTATAATCATTGCACATTTCATTGTAGAATTGATATGACTACGTGTGGTGGTAGTATCTTAATAAAGAGTTCATGAATATATATATGGTATGCTTTATTTTCACCTTGTAGCTAAACGTACTTCAACAATCCGTTAACCATAACATTTATATATAACATCTATATTCTATTCCTCTTTCTTAATTATAAAAAAATATAAATATCACATAAATATGACCACTTATTTTATTTCCTTCATCATCCTTCATTATAATAATCTCTCTTCATTCGTTATGTTATTATAATTAATATCCATATTTTTTTACCATCTTTTCTTTTATGACAAAAATATTAATATCACATACATAGTCAATCTTTATATCATTATATCTTATATACTTTTTTTATGACAAAATACCCTTAAAATATATCTTTTTTTTTATGATAAAATAATTCACCCATTTTTTAAAACACTATCTAAAGATTTGCATCGAAGCGTTTTTTTTTATAGTGATTTTAATCACTGTCAGATATCATTATACTTGATCCAACTATGCCAAGTCACCACTGTGCCGCGACCCTCCTGTGTTGGGTTTTTTTTATGCGTGCATGGTATTAATTATTATTTGTATATCTATTAAAAAATATGTTCATTGTTTAAGTTTCCTATAGCTAATGTTTTTTGTCGCTAAATTTAGTTACCGTAATTTGTATTTATTGAATTATTTGTAATTTGTTTAAAATATGATGTATCAGTTTTAAGTTAATTATTTACTACTTTTCTAAGAATATTTTACCGTAATTATGTTGATAATTTTGGCCATGAATTTGGGTCTATCGTTTGATATAATCTTATCATTTATATGTATCTTATATTGATTCTATTGAAATGTGTTATTTCAAGGTAGACGGTGTTCTCGCTCGATTATCATACTAATATGTGATAATAATAATTATAATGGCACCGACAAATGTAATCGTAGTAATGTTCGATGTACTTACGCGTGCGGGAAAATCGTCGGCTAAAAATTAAAATAAAGCAAGATACAGTCCACTATACATAACAATAACATTTACGAATTATTTATTTTATTTATTGAACCATTTCGGAACATTGATTATTTAATATTTCGTTTCTTAATAAATATTTATATTGTTGTTAACCAAAAGTGCTTTATATATATTATTGTAGTTTCTTTAAGGACATAAATTAAATAGCAACCTTATTATGAATGAAATGCATAAATGTATATATAAATATTATTATTATTACTTTGTAAAAAATGTATTCATTAATTATAAATTTTTGCTTATTTAGGTATAAAATGAATAAAATAAGGTTTGTTGTCATTGACTTTGAATTTAGTATGTATAATAAGTTTGATTGAATATTAATCTCCGGTGCCATTGGCGGTAGCCGGGATCTAAAATTAACATTACATTTAGAATGGACACCATTAATCTTGGGAAATAATATAACTAAGTTATTAGATAATCAAGTAGAACTATTCAAAAACAGAATAAAATGGATTTTTAGAAAGAAAAAAGAAAAATTAACTCCACTATTTGCGGAATTAAGAATTAGTACTGCAAAAAACAATGCACAAAATTTAAATTATAACTCTATTAACACTTTTATTGAATGGATTGACCATTTGTATAATGAAGTATAATTAAATAGTAAACCTCAGTACATAAGGTAGATATTGCTTAGTCAACTATCCTCGTCCTTTAGAATACTGTTGACAAGCATATAAGCTCAACCTCTATATATAGAAAAATATTTATTTCAAACGATTGATAAATACCATATGTTATCATCTTAAACATTTTCAGAATTATTATAATAAATAAAAAACTAAAAATAAATTTTTTATTAATATATTTTAAAGATTTTTCATTTATGATTTCAAATTTTTATCAATTATTATTATATATAATATAAATTTAAGACGATAACTCAATCTTTTTTATTTTCTGGTTCATAAAAAAATGCGTCACTAGAATAGATTACATCCAAGGGCATAAATTGATTGCTGAATTTAGACAAATAATCTTCGACAAGAAATTTGAAGTAGAATATATTTCCTCCAATTCGTTCAAATAACTTAGTCATTTTTGATAGATATTGTGAAAGATTGTCAATATTTTTTTTTATTTTCCAATCTTCAAAGTATACATAATTGCGTAATATTGCTCTGTTTTTCGCGATTATATTTTTATCTTCAGCGTTTTTAAGCTCTATATTACACCTTGCAACCATTAATTTTACTTGATAATCTAATTTTGCTAATGATGACCACTTAGGGTGATCCCTCTCACAAAGTTTTAATATTTCATTGAATATATTATCATTGTAATCTAAAAATTTGATAATCTTTTTTAATGGCTCACCAAGTGATTGCCATAATTCTTTGACATTCACATCTTTATATTGCTCTTGTATATCAGAAACAAATGATTCAGATCCTACGAAAAATTTTAAGCCCGATTCCTTCCGAAAAACGTTTAAATGAAATGAAATATGAAGTAAAAAATGTGTATAAATAATTTGCTGAATTTTCCAGTGAAATTGAAAGACGGCATAAGGCTCAAGAGCCCATATACCGTTAAAATAAATGTTCGTAACCTTAGTTTTAAAATTGTCCATTAAATCTTTAACATCAGACCAATCATACATATTACTTATTGAGGTTAGAAAAATTACTTCCTGGAAATTTTCCATTACAAATTGTAGAGTAATATTGTCTAGTGTAAATAAAGTACTGCTGTACATATTTTTAAATTTTTCATTATCGTATAAATATTCAACTAGGATTTTAATTTCATTATTTTTAAAATTATTTGTATTAAACATTTTTATATCTGGTACAAGTTTTTTTTGTGCACAATCCATATAAAATGTATCTATATCCCTAAAGAGAGACCCAGATGAAAAAAAATATTTATTTAGAACTATATGATTTTCTGTAACTACAGCTAAAAGTTGCATATAAATCGTAATAATCCATTTACTTGCTTTAATACGATTATAATACAATATCGATAACATATTTTCTACATAAGATAGGTATACTTTGAATTCATCTATTTTATTTGGGTCTGGTCTGCCATCACATAATATAAGACCATCTATAATTTTCCTTTCAAAGTATTTCAGTATATATGCATTTTGACAGTGTAAAAATTCCATTCTTTTATTGTACTTTTCTCGTAGTGTTTCCTTTTTTTGAGAATTTAGAAGACTTATATCATTTTCTGAAAAAAATAATTCATTATCTTCGGGTTGAAGAAGTTTGTTTAGGGACAAAAGGTGTTCTTCATCTAATTCTCGTCTCTTTTTTACTATTTTTAAATTGTCATACTGTAAAAATAATAAATTTAAATTAATTATAAATTAATTATATTTCAAGTATCTATTCAATTCAATTTTCCCATTTGAAAAAAATGTCTTAATGATGCATTAAAGCTACTAATTTTTATTTTATTTATGAATACAATTTTTGTTTTAATCGAAAAACGTTTTACAGTCATTGTAAAACATTATGGTTGTGTGAAAAATTAATATAATTTAATATTAACCAATTAAAAATTATTCCCTTTAAAATAAAAAAATATTTAATAAATTTAATATTTATTAAAAGAAAGTATTTTATAATCTTAAGAATATTAAATATAAAACATCTAACGTTTTTGGAATATGTTTTTAAATTTAGCTGCACTCAAACTGCAACCAATTAATAATTATTTTACTCAAAATTAAGAAATTGATAATATTTATTTTTGTATATGTATGTGTAATTGATATGTAGTCAATAAAATAATTTAATGATATAATTTTTAACTTCAATGAGATAACTTTCAATAAGATTTATTGAAGTATTTGGATAGTCCTTTTTTTTAATAAAAATTAATTATGTGTTATAATGTATAATTATTAAAATATTTAATTAATATATAATATTATAATTTATTTATATAAACTGATTTAAATAGGGATAAAAATTTTCTTAAAATCAATTAAAAATTTAAGTTTTATAAAAAAATAAAAATGTTTGATATCAAAAACTCTATATATTATGTAATTTAATAATTTTGTTTTTCATCCCGTTAGAATAAAGAAATTTCAACTTAGTTTTCTGTAATGGTAAAATATGTTTAGCTTACAATATAGTTAAAATTAAATTTATAAAATTTCTAGTTATTCTGTTGTTGCTTGTTAATTTTTTTTAGCTCATTTCTTTTAATGATTCATTTTCATTTTGTAGTTGAATCAAAATACTTCAATCAATTAAATTTGGTTTGGCTGAATAATTATACTTTTATACATGTTCATTGTGGAAAAAAATATATTAGATATACAGTATGATATACTATTAGTAAATTTTCATAAAATTTTGTTCTTTTAATATTTTTTATTTGATGATCCGTTTATTGCTTGTTTGCACATGATAAAGTTTTTATTGACTATATTAAGAATAACGATTATAATGTATGACCCATTGAAAGTTTTGTTTGGTCTCTGGTATTATGAAAACCAAATTTTTATTTTAAATACAAATCTTTAAATAATTCTAAGCATTCTCATCTCTATTATAATCATTCTATGGTCTACTCTCTTGTCAGTCACTTAACATTCTGAAACATATATCATAGCTCGTCTTGCTACAGTCTTGTAGAACTTACCTTTCAGCTTCATTGGAATTATTTTTTTTGAGGTGGAAAAAAAAGTACAAATTTGTTTGATTGAATATTTTAAATATACATTAAGGACCCAATCACTGTAGTCTCCCCTTGTGAAAAAAAATTCTTATTCATATTAAAATATTTTATTGTATAGTTTTTTTAATATCTGTCATTCATCTTTCTCATTTGCTCTAACTTGATAAATATTAATGACAGATTCGTCAGAAGAACTCTATTTTAATCTTTTAATGAACTTACAATGACCAAATATTGTAAATTTCATTTTAGAAATTCAGACGAACATTTCAAAATTATCCTACTGCAAAAATAATCATGATTTTTTCTATAAACTCATTTTTGATATTAATACTAATTAGAAACGTATGAAAAAATTAATTAAAAAAAAATTTTTTTATCAAGTTATTATTGATTTTTAATATGTTACAAATAAATCGTGAAAAATTTTAATTTAAAATGACATTTTCAACTTAATTCTTTGATTTATTAAAGTTGATTTTTATGAATGCTTTTAATTTAAAAATAATGAGCTGTTAAATAAAATTTTAGCTCAACTTGCAAATTTATAATTTTTACCAATAAATAGAAAATAAATAAATAATAATAAAATATTCTACTTTTTAGATTGATATGTGATCAGAAACATATATAATTACTATTGACTGTATTTCATTAAAATCATTATTTTTTGGTGAATAGAAGTCTTAATAATAATTTCTATGTAACTTTTGGTATTTAAATAATTATATATATTGATATACTGTACATAATGCATTTAGCTTGTTTCTTATATTTTAATTGAAATATGTTTATTGATTATTCATATGTAACCAAACAAAATTAAATATTTGTTATTTTAATTAGAAGGATTTTGTTATTATTTAGTCTATATGCGAAACTCCGATCGTAGATTTGAAATCGGTGCAAATATGAGTTTAGAAAAGTATATTTTGGTCTTTGATGCAAATTTGTTTGTAGATCAGTACATTTATTTATAAGTAACAAACAATTTTTTTTGAAAAATATTGCTCAAGCTCTTCAACTTTTATACATGTTTGGCATAAAAGTAATAACAACTTTATAATTTATTATCATTTCTCCCTAAAAATTACAATACCTATATTATTAAATATAAATTTCATATTATATTTAATTGCTATAATTAATATTTATTTATATATTAAACTTATAAATCATAANTATTTAATTGCTATAATTAATATTTATTTATATATTACACTTATAAATCATAAAAATTGAAATAAAGATATAAATAATGAAATAAGAGTTTATTTTGCTTTTTAAATAATCCATCAATTTTCTTAAATTAAAAACTATCTACATATTTGCACTGAAGCGTTTTTTTAAATAGTGATTTTAATCACTGTCAGAAATCATCTATATTTGTCCCATTTATGCCACGTCCACACTGTGACGCGATCCCGCAGTGCTACCGTTATTTTTGGATATTATTTGTATAAAAAAAAAAACATTTTATGGAGCCTGTGTCTAGAGCTAACTCTGAAATCATGGTATATCCAGGTCTACCAACGGTATATGTCACTGTAATAGTTCAAAAGTTAAAAAATGTTATTAAAATATCCCATATAGAATACTTCATGTTATTATTACTTTAGAAAAATAAATAGAACTCTAATAAATCAATCAGTATACAAAAAACTATAATAAATAAGTATAAATAATTATTTCATGATAGAAAATAATGTCAACCATAATATTTAAGTACATAAACTAAAATTATTTTTACCGGACTTGTAATTTTTTTCGAGTCTTGTACAACAGATGAAACAGATGAACATAGCACAATTGCTATCAAAAATTGCACATATACATTCATTTTAGCCTATTTGTAAAATTAATCTTGAGATGTTCCACCTAAATGTTTAAACTTTTCCTAGAAGTTTTAGATTTAAAATAGTTTATTTATAGCCAAAATTAATGTCTATCTATATTTATTGCGTAGTATGAAAAATTAATGATATTTTATTTTCTATATTGTATGTCTTAGTTATTTTTACAAAATATAAACATGCTTTATCTGTTTTTAAAATAATATATGGTTTAAGTTATTTAATTTATGACGTTCATAGATATTAAAATTATTTCTATTTTTGTCTCTGATATTATATGATGACGAAGAATCAAAAAGAAAAGTTATTTACATTTTAATTTGGATATATTAAAATAAAAATAATTCTACTTCTATATAATGAATGTTTAATAATTATTTGGATAATGACTAAATAAATAAATCATTCTTATTATATTATTATATTTAGCACATTCGATCTAGTATTGGACGTTTTATTTGACTTTAAATGATCATTAAAGTTAATTTTAAATAAGCTTGTGTCGTGGTAGCGGTAGGGCATCGACAATGTAATTAAAGAAAAAATAAATTCATATTCATTCAAAGAATCAATATATATAGTATATAATATGGTAAAATAAACAAGTGTAAATATGACCATGAAAATTTTAATCACAAACTGATTGGTGGCCGGCGACTCTTCACCTGTAGTTATGTCAGCGCCGTAGGTTGCCGGTTAATGATGAGACATTTTAGTTTTTCTTAATGAGCGATTTAGAGAAATACAACATAGTCGGTGTATAATTATCGTGATCCAGGTGATATTCTATCGAAGATAATACCACGGCTATGTCATCGTCCCCCCCCCCCAAAGCGCACATAAGCAATCCAACTTGTTTTTCACTTCTTTATTCTATTAGTTAGGTAATAATTTTATTTTTTCCTGCGAGAAAGACGTCTTTCCTAAAGAAATTGCTAGCCATAACTACTTTGGCATGAAACTCGCGTGGAAACTTTTCGCTGTATTCGGAGATTACAAAAGTTCACCCAGTCATTTACAGTAAACGATTTTGGGTTACTAGGCACTTCACCTCCTTTCGATTTACGTTGATTTATTGACGTATCGTTTTATCGAATCATTTCCGCCTTTGCTCATTAATGAACCTCAGAACCTAAAAATTATAGAAGCTCAGTTCTGTTTCTAAGCAGAAGCTAATTCTCCAGTGCCTTTGTAATTTACGCCTACATAAGTATTATTATATAAGTAAATGGATATATATCAGTATACAGTATAAATAATTATACAATGTTTTACATTTTTGACCAGACAAAAATTCTATGTTATTTTTTATTTAATAACTTACACAGTTTTCAATTACTTTAAAGGAATATTTTTTATTATCACTGAAATATGAAAATAAAAATAAATTATATTCAAAATTTTAAAATTGCCATATTTTAGCCTTAAAAAAAAAAAAAACTAATGCGTTGATAATAAATTTATAATGTGTATTTTTTAAGTTATAAGAAAATTAATACATATGCATTTAAAATTCATATATCCCAATAGCAAACAGTTTAAAAATAATGTTATTCATTAAAATGAAATATTTCATGATATTTTTGTAAATTATTTTACAAAAATAAACTGTAAAACACTACTCATGAACAACCTTCACTTAAAATAAATTAAATAAAGTATAATGATATCTGTCAGTGATTAAAATCACTATAAAAAAAAACCCTTCGATGTTAATCTTTACATAGTGTTTAATTTTAAAAAATTGGTATATAATTCCAAAAGCTAAATGATCGGCTATTTCCTTATT